GCCTACTTTAGCCACTCCGGGCTCTTTTGTTCTCTCGCCCTAGCTGTGCAGTCTTCCACACTAGGCAGAGATTTGGAAGTCTGGCGACATGGGCATTCTCGTTCCCCTAGCGTTCTCGACGCAGCTCGAGTTCCTGAAGAGGAACGTCTCGGGTTACGTATGTAACCCTGGTTCCTCGAGGGAACGAGACGCTGCGTCTCGGTGCCATACTTCCGGCGTCCCTGCCGGCGCTTGCTTCATTCCTAGAAGCTGACGCTGGCTCCGCCGCATGTGCTTTTATAGCTTCCCGGTCATTACGTCATCCGCCGTGACGTCCCGCTCAGCTATTGGACTGATTTCACATGTGATTCAGAGCGTGGGTCACTGAAGGCGTTCGCCTAGCATTCTCGACGCAGCTTCTCGTTCCCTCGAGGAACCAGGGTTACATACGTAACCTGAGACGTTTCTTTGTTAAAACAACGGATGATTCCTCAGATGGTTGCCTTCTTGAACAATCAATCATGTTAATGTTGCTCATTAGTTATGGCTACAAGCTGTCAGAAATATTAACACACCTCTGATTGCTCAATGTATGCGCTGTGATAGCTGGACCTTCTTCTCTTTGTTTACAGATGTGACATTACCACACAAAGATGAATGACGTAACACTGACATGGCCTGCAAAAATCTGTCCCGACAGCTCAGATTATATATAAGTATTATAAGCTCACCATTGTGAATCGGAGTAAGGCATGGATAGAATTTTGAACACTATTTTTTATTTTAAAGTACTTGCTCAATAATTGATTATTTTTCACGAAGATCTGTGATGCTCTGATAAAAAAAGACTAGTTCACAATAATAATTTAGTACCAAAATGTTGCAACCCTAATGATTTATGTGGAATTATAATGTTGTTCCGACAGCTCAGATTATATATAAGTATTATAAGCTCACCATTGTGAATCGGAGTAAGGCATGGATAGAATTTTGAACACTATTTTTTATTTTAAAGTACTTGCTCAATAATTGATTATTTTTCACGAAGATCTGTGATGCTCTGATAAAAAAGACTAGTTCACAATAATAATTTAGTACCAAAATGTTGCAACCCTAATGATTTATGTGGAATTATAATGTTGTTAACATGGATGTGTTTAGAAAATACAGTACTAAAATATATTCTTAGTTACAATGTAAAAACTCTGGAATTTTTCCTCTAATATATTGATTTTCTCCAATGATGTGTCTCTTCATCTAACCCCCAACTGTGTCATTTGGTGCGTCTCCCTACGTGTCTACGTGTTTCTACTTAATGGCACTTCTCATTAATCCTGGGCCTAATGCAGCAGCAAGATCCCTATAACATGCTAAGACACTGAGCCTAGATAGATTAGGGTTCACTCCCCACTCCCAGAGCCTGATCAATACCCAGCAGCCCCCATGCTCACAGAGGGAAAGAGTCAAGACAGAGAGCCTATAGAGTTGTTAAAGGCTAGCTTTGATTATAAATGGCACTCTGGGGACAGAGGATGGCCCCTAGATAAGGTGATAAAGCGAGGGTGTAGCTTTAGATAATGTATCTGAGTCTGTGGACTTCCCTACCCACACCATCTTTCTGCACATTATTTTCCATTATACTGCTATCGATCGGCTAGAGGTAATGGCCATTGGAATCATAACCCGAGGCATAACTACATTCCAGCGCAGGAAAAGTTGATTGGAGGAAAGGAACAGAAGCGCTGAGGAAACACTTTCTGTGCTTCGGCTTTGAAGAGGGGTTTGTATTTTTGTTTCACTAGGGACTGTAGAAAGAACAGATTTTTTTTCTCTCAAAAATTGTAGCATAACTGTAGTGGCTTGAAATTGGGATTGTGGTGTCAGGATGTTAGTTTGCTCTTTAAGATCGTTTTTTTTTTTAAAACATGCATACATAAGTGGCCATTTAATTTGTAACCCTAGCATGCAGTGAAATGCATTTGTGTGTGTAGTATTCTTTTTGCGCTGATGTGTTTCCTATTGAAACAGGAAGTTGGGGTGGAACATATTGAAGAGCTTGGCCAATGACATTTAGTTTCTAATCTCAGAGCTCATGGTTGGTCGGCCTTGAAAGGTTGATATGTTAATGTTAAAAACTATTTCTCACAAGAAAACTAATAGGATTGTTTACTTCTGGAAACCTACTGCTCTACCTCTCTGCAACACAGACGATTAGGAAGCATGGGATACTTGGGGTTGATGGTAGGCCGTTGCTGATCCAGGCCAGATTATAGGTAGAGAAAAGAAATGTGATAATGTCAGTGTCACTGAAATAAAGATCTCTTTCCACAGTTCATCACGCTCTCTCTTTCTCTGCAGTAGTACGAAGGGCACCTGTGTTGATTTACTGTCAAATCTTCCAGGATTATCTGTAATCCTGGAGCTTCAAAATCTGTTTGCTGACAGCTGTGTTCTCTAACAGAACTGTTGTTTGCTGTGCACATAGTGTCCTATATAGCAGCAAGAGTTCTTTCTTCAAGGGGCAAAAGAAAGAAAAAGCCTTTTAATTTTCCGCTTGAGTGAATTTCAATTTACAGTTCTTCTCGGTTTGTTTTGTGTTGTATTTGGCTATAGTGCATAGCTGACTCTATATATCTTTGCCTTGGTAAATAGGCACACTATCACAGCACATCCTTTGAATGTCTTCTAATGTATTCTAGTGTATTGGGGGATTTTGCTCTTCAATAGCTATGTTATTTTTACCAATAGGTCCAGGGCATATACTGTAATTTATAAAAAGGACTTTGACGGTGTTCCGTTTGTCTTTTTTTATGCAAAAATTATATTTGTATTTTTTTCACATGAATTTTACATACAAATGTGTAAAGTTATCATTACAAATTTTCTACATTGCCATTTATTATTTGTTATTATTATTATTATTATTAATTTGTTTGTTTCTTTGATTGTTTAAAATACTATTAATTTATATTTTCTTATGATTTGATAAATATATTACATACACAGGCCACCCAGTTGTCAATATTTGGATACTTAGAATCAAAGTGATTTTAATGGATTAAGTAAATAAATACCCCTTGAGTTAGCATAACCCCAGGTGTAGTTCATGTTAATTATGAAGATGTTCCACTAGAATCTGACATGCAAAAAGTGCCCCGATATTTGTACAACCTGTTAAAAATTTAGATTGATAAATGTGTCTCTTTCTATAAATTAAATGCCACTTAGTTTGATATTTTGTTACAGCTTGGTTTGCTTTGTTTCTTAATATTTATAGTATGATTAGTTTAACTTTAACTTTAGTATAGTCTAATATTAATAATGAAAAAAATCACAATAGTAGAGGTTTTTGCTCTGATTTTTAGTTTATCCTATATTTATTTGCAATTACCCATGATGTGTATTTCCAATTCTAGGTGGTCTACAAAAACAATGACATACGACTGGAACTCTCTCGCCTGGCTCGCATCGCAGACCCCAAGATGAAGCTACAAGGGGACGTGGTGTTTAAATGTGAGAATGTCCCCACCCTAGACCCTATCTCCTTTGAGACACCAGAATCCTTCCTCAGCCTGCCCAAGTGGAACACCAAGCGTGTGGGCTCCATTTCCTTTGACTTTCGCACTTCAGAGCCCAACGGACTAATCCTTTTCACTCAAGGTAAGCCCCAGGACAAGAAAGATTCTCGTAGCCAGAGGAGCAACAAAGTGGACTTCTTCGCTGTGGAACTTCTAGATGGAAATCTCTATCTTCTGCTGGACATGGGATCAGGAACGATTAAAGTCAAAGCCACGCAGAGTAAGGTCAATGACGGAGCCTGGCACCATGTGGACATCCAGAGAGATGGAAGATCAGGTGAGTAGATTCATTTTCTCCAGATTACCTTAATGCTTTTTTTTTAAATGATTACAGAATAATAATAATAATTTTATATTCATATATATATACACTACCGTTCAAAAGTTTGGGATCAGAACTATTTTTAATGTTTTTTACCAGCTTCCTGCTTTACCAGCTATAACGTTTTTCTATTTTAATATACATTAAAATCTAATTTATTCCTGTGATGCAAAGCTGAATTTTCAGCATCATTACTCCAGTCTTCAGTGTCACATGATTCTTCAGAAATCAATCATTCTAATATGCTGATTTATTATCAGTGCTGGAAAATGTTGTGCTACTTAATATTTTTTTGGAACCTGTGATACTTTTTTTCAGAATTCTAACATGAATTAAAAGTTAAAAAGAAGAGCATTTATTTAAAATAGAAATATTTTCTAACAGTATACACTACCATTCAAACATTTGGGGTCAGTAAATTGTTATTCTTTCTTTCTGGCTGATGGACATTCAGCTTTGCATCACAGAAAGAAATTATATTTTAAAGGATATTAAAATAGAAACCATTATTTTATATTGTAATAACATTTTGCAAGAATACTGTTTTTTTCTGAATTTTTGATCAAATAAATGCAGCCTTGATGAGCATAGGAGACGTCTTTAAAAAAAACATTACAAGTCTTACTGATCCCAAACTTTTGAACAGTAGTTCTCTTTTTTTTGTAACTTATTTCAAAAAGTTAAACTTTCATATATTCTAGATTCATTACATGTAAAGTAAAACATTTCAAAATATTAGAATATTTACATTTGAATTTCATTAAATGACCATCCCTACAGTTTAAATTCCGGGTATCTTTGAAACCACAATAATGGGCAGGACTGCTGACTTGGCAATGGCCCAGAAGACAATCAATTGACACCCTCCACAAAGAGGATAAGTCACAGAAAGTCATTACTGAAAGGGGTGGCTGTTCACAGAGTGCTGTATCAAAGCATATTAAATGCAAAGTTGACTGGAAGGAATAAATTGGGTAGGAAAAGGTGCACAAGCAACAGGGATGACCGCAAGCTTGAGAATACTGTCAAGCAAAGACGATTCAAACACTTGGGAAAGCTTCACAAGGAGTTGACTGAAGCTGGAGGCAGTGCATCAAGAGTCACCACGCTCAGACATCTTTAGGAAAAGGGCTACCAAGCCACTTCTGAAACAGAAACATCAGAAGCATCTTATCTGGGCTAAGGAGAAAAATAACTGGGCTGTTGCTCAGTGGTCCAAAGTCCTCTTTTCAGATAAAAGTAAATTTTGCATTTCATTTGGAAATCAAGGTCTGGAGTCT